TGGATGTAGAGCGAAGAAAATACTTGTGCACTGTGTATTTAACCTGACACATTATAGCTCCACTATATTACCCTGTGATGTCAAACTGTAATATAACATTAAATCAAGAACAAATAAAATCTAAGGTCTTCTTTTCTTCCCTGGCTTGCTTTGGTTTTCTTAAGCTCCCTGTCCTTGAAACTCATGCCATTGATACAGCTGAAAAAACAGAAGGATCAGCTGTAAGCAGCTACATCAGAAGGCTGGCAGTGAATTGTTGAATTAATTCTCTCTTTGGCTATGTATTTACACCTAACCCAAGCTCACAGTCATTGAAGGCTTTGATGCGAAGCCCCTGGTAGTCTTACATTAGGGCATTTGCTGCCCACACAGAATACTGAACTGCTACTGAAGGGTCCCATTTACTTCCTAGACAGGTATGTAGCCAAGCCATCCCTGGCTAGCAGCCTCAGTGGGCAGGCCTGGAAGGTCAACTGCTCTGCAGTCAGCAGCTGAGCACAGCCTGGGCTTTTTGATTTACCTTCTTCCCATTTTTTCCAGCCACAGTACTAGCAGCATGGCTCTGTGCACTCATAAATCCCGTGTCTGTGCCTTCTCCAGTGGAGAGCAGCATTCCGCTTTACAGCTTGTCTCCCCCACCTCATCTCCTCCTGGGCCACCAGAACCACCCAGCAGCATCTGGGATGGACACTCTTACACTCTTCCCACTGAGCCAAGCACATTCCTGGTGAACAGTCACTTCCACCTCTCTGAAGGAAGATTCCTTACCTGCTGTGCTGCCCTCCTTCTTTCATGAGGATGTGCTTCATCCTCATGAGCCTGTCATGGCTACATGACCTAGACCTGTCACCACCAGTCTTTTGTCCCTGGTGAGCTGTCACTTGAGGCACCCCCCTTACCAGCATCCCCCATGGCAGTGCCCTCCATCCCTACCCAAAGCGGCTGAGCAGACAGACACTTCCTTTCTCAACCACCTGCAAAACCAGGAGACTGATCTCTGATTAAGAGTCTAAATTTTGGCACTAGGGTTCTTCAAAAGGCTTTGTTCTCACCCTTTCCTACCACTGCACACATTCAGGCTAAGTCTGCTGTGGTGGTGACTACACCAAACTTCCATCACCTGTTTGTTTCTGAGCTGAAAATCTATCTAAATGGGGATTTGGCAGACAAGAAGAGAAAGAGGGAGGGAGACGGCACTGAGGATTGCACCTTCTGCTTCAACAGTTGAGAAACAGTTTTGTGAAACCACTGGAACCAAGGAATAACTTAAGTGCTACTGAGGGAATAAATGATTCACTGAACTTCTGTTAGTGGAGACAAGGTGTAAGACAGAAAGCACCCAGTTTAAATATAAAATCCTGGGTGAATTACAGAACTGGCAGTTCTTTTATTTTTTTCTTTTATCTTTCTTTTTTCCCCTACTCTTCTTAACATTTTATAGGGAAGACACCAAGAAATAGTGTATATCCTGAGTCCAAAAAGACACCTTCTTTAGAAAGAAGCATACTGAATCACTTCTTGGAGAAGAAAATAGGTGCAAGTAAACGTTCCCTGAGTGACAGCAACTGGAGAAAAGAGTTAAGTAAGTTTTTCATAAAGACCAAGCAAAATCATTGCCTACCATCTCGGCTCCTGTGCAGATGAGGAGTTGTGCTAGACCTGTCGCCTAACAGCTACCAACTTAAAATAGGAATGTTTCTGAATCAACTAATTTTAACACCCCCTTACTCTACTGAAGTCAAGAAAAAAGGTGAGAGAAGTTCCAAGACACAAAGCAAACATTATTTAACTCAACAGACCACGCGCAGGCTTTTTTCCTCCCCCTTCTGATGTTAACCCACACAAAACAATGCAGCAGTTCTGAGAATATTTTAAGTTTGCTCAATGGTTCCAGTAACACGGGCTGCTCTTACTTTCCTCTGATCATTCATACTTGACAGACCCGGTGTGAATAACGTCTAATAGGTGAGCTCTTTTCACTGTTTGGCTCCAGAGCATTAGTTACTGAAGGAGGGCTGTCACTTAAGATTCCCAATTCATCAGGGACACTGCACTACTGTTACAGAATTTCAGTAACGTCTGCTTAAGATTTGTCTGACAAACCGGTGATACATTTCTTTAATTGAGATCATTTCAGGAACACATAGGATATATGTAGGATATGTTCAGCCTCATGGGAAGTCCACTGGGCTTTGTTTTACTTTCACAGTCACGAAGGACAGAAAAGACAGCAAGACAAAGTTTCCATAGACTGATGGATCTGTAGATGAAAATCTCAGCCCACCCTTCACATCTGTTCTGTACTTACAGTTTGGACATCTCCCAGATTTTTAATCTTAGTACAGCAAGACCCAAAACAAGTCTTTCCAGACGAAGGTTTCATAGGAGAGATGCAGAACCAGTGGGCAGGTATGAATAATAACGCTACCATGAAAATGCCTTGGATTTGACCAAATTAGCACACAAAAAAACCCCAAAACCAACCAACAAATAAATAAAAAATAAGGAGACCAAAATACACCACCACCACCAGCCGCTTCCCTTCCTCAGCAAGATCCTGTTTTCCCAAGTATCCTAAGTGGATATTTGATAATTAATCCTCTGTTAAATCCTAACAAAAGTATTAACAAACAATATTAATTTCCATTCTGTTAAAAGTCCATTTCTGCAGAACATTTTACAAGCATCAGGGTAAACCCTTCTGTCTTCTCCAGGAGGACAGCGCACAACCAGCAGCCTCCTGCTGGGCAAGGCAGGGGTGGATGGCTTTGGCAGGCAGAGCACAGCTCAACCACAGGCTCAGTATTGCATGGCAAAAGCTCCCTGCAGTGTTTTTTGGAAGAGCTGGGTTTGGAGGATCCACTCCACCCAGATCTCAATATCTTCCTCTGACACCCTACTGATAGAAATGAAATGGGAAGAATGCGCAAACTGGAGGGCTGGAAGGATATTTGGGATGTGGTGGAAATAATCTTCTGCAGCCAGGGAAGATAAGCTATTCCTTCCCTATTCCAAATACAATGCCAAGCCATGAACAAGTGATTCTGCCTTTGACCCTACATCTTATTTTATGGTTATTATAAGCACTTAAGGCTGAAAACTTACTCTCAAAATTAGTCTCACTGGTTTCCAAAAAGGACTAGATGGAGGCAGCACTTTACACACACACCCCTTTGAACAGCAACGGCAAAGCCAGTTCAAAGTCAAGACATGGAAATGGGAACCAAAGCATTTAGTTTCTGTTCCATTATTAAAGTCTAAGATTCTTTTGCTAATTAGCATAATGTAACCTCGATCCTGCAACCCAATCTAGGAGGCCAAGCCCAGCACCAATACTGCACACAGCATGGTCAGTGGTGATAAGCGCAGGTTCACCCACCTCTGAAATTATATCCCCTGCCCCTCAGTGCATTGCTGGATTAGTCGGACAGCTCCCCCAGCTGCAACAGTTTGGCCGGACACCCGATGGAGAAGGCACTCTGTGTCCACAAAGCCAGCTCTGCCCGTGGATGCCTACATCCCTTTTGCTCTCCACAGAAACCTGCCGAGAGCTCCTTTGAGCAGCAGCTACAAAACATGCCCTTAACAAGCGAGTTTATAAGGGTCTGTGCAGTTCAGTCTTGCTTTAATGCAGATATGCCACCCCGTGCCCACTCAGCCCTGCTTCCCTGACAGCCGATACTGATGGCTCTTGTCTCAGAGCCCATCCTTACAACTGAAGGGTGGCAAGCGCTCCGTGGGAGTGCTGAAGGGATGCTGCATTCCCCAGAACTGCTCTTGCCTCACAGAAACACTCAATTTTCACATAGGTCATTAAATGCTATTTGTGAATCAGATATTTTAATGAACAGTTACTCAATTAGCAGACTCAACCAGGTTCCAGTAACACTTCCTCCTGGCACACTTACTATATGGTCTATATAGTTAGTTCCTTATGCCTGCCATAGGTTTGTAATGAGCACCTACCCATCACCTACAAACGAGTGCTAATGCTGCCCAGCTACGCTAGACCTTCAGCACAGCTCCTGTATTGGTTTTAAATCCTAGAACATGGTAAGTATTCACTATAATTTGTTTGATCAGAATAAATAAGAAGAGAACAAGCTAAAGGAAAGTACGGCAAACTGTAGGAACTGTAACTAAGGTGGTCTGCTACAAATTATCCTCCTCGGGGAAAGAATGCTCCCTGGGTTTTCCTTCTAGGATAAGCAACCGTAACTGTCAGTTACTTTGCCGCTACTCAACTTCTCTTTACCCCTGTGAAAGCGCAGTCCCTCCTCATCAGCTCTGCCTGGTAGACAGGGAACGTCTGAGGCAGACGAGGTTGGCGGGGAGCTCCGGGGGTGCCAGGACAGGCTTGCTGTTGCCAGCCCCGGCGCTGTACTTGGAGCAGATCCCTTCGCTTAGCGTTAAAAAGAAAGGTACGGATGACTGCGGGTCTGCTTCAAAGCAGCACCAGCGAAGTTTCTGGCCTGATCTTTCAATTGCAGAGAAAAAAGTAGCGGAGGTACAGCAGAGGAGGAACTCACGGGGAACTCAGTCTGAACACCCTTCCCAGGAAAAAAAGCAAAAAAAAGAAGAGTTTTCCGAAATTTCCCTTTTACCCTCGGCAGCCTGGGAAGAGTCACCACCTGTTCCCAAACTGAGAGGGAAATGAGGAACTTGCCGGGACAGCGCCAGGCTCCGCCGGAGCGGCTCTTCATCATTCCCTTTCTCCAGTTAACTTCCACCGGGCCGGGCCGCTGACCCTTTCCCCCCCGGGGCATCCCCCGTCCCGTACAGCTCTGGGCAGAAATGCTGAATCACGAAGCCGAGGACTCGGGACCAGAGGCGACGGTGCTGGGAAGGATGGGGGGGGGGGGGGGGGAGGGGGTGTCCCGTTTTACCCCCACGCGGTACTGGCCGCCTTTCTCCGCCCGCTGCCCGGCTCGCCCCGGGAGGGGGACCGGGAGATGGAGGGGATGAGCCGAGCCGCTGCGGCGCCGGCGGGGGGTACTTACTTGAAGGTGAGGACGCAGAGGGGCCGGTAGGACTTGTGGCTGGTGTTCTCGGCCATCCGCTTGCCCCAGAAGTCGTTGGCGAAGGCGGCAGCCACCGGGGTGGCCGCCCGCACGTCGGGGTTGTTCACGATGGCCCAGACGTCGTCGTGCACGAACTCGCCCCGCAGGGAGTTGCCGTAGCAGAGGGCGCACAGCCCCGCCAGCACCGCCGCCGCCGCCGCCCCGCCGTGCCGCCCGCCCGCCGAAGGGGACGAGTAGCGGGGCGGCGCGGCTCGGTCCCGGCTGCGGGATCCCAGCGCAGAGCCCGTCACCATGGCGCGGGGCGCCGCGCTGGCTGCCCCTGCCCCGGCTCCGCTGCCGCCGCGACGCGGAGATGCAGCGGGACCCGCATGGTGCGGGGCGGGCAGCGGGACCGCCGCCGGCCACTCGCTCTCTGCCGAGGCGCAGCCTGCCCGGCTGCACATAAACAGCGGCCGCCTCCCCGCGCCATCCCTCCTCCTCCTCCTCTTCCTCCTCCTCCCCCTCACCCCCACCCCCCCCTCCCGCACGCATGCTCCTTGCCGCGCTGTCACCCCGCTGCCGCCGCCGCCACCTCCTCCCGTTGGCGGGGTGGGCTCTGCCTGGGGTGGCCCCGCACACCGGGGAGGGAGACACGCACGGCACGGCAGCACCCACGCGAGGCCGTGCTCCCCGCGGGCGGCATGGGCTGCGGGGCTGGGAGCGGAGCCCCGGTGCGGCGGGTCGCCCCTGTCACTCGCGGGAGGAAGGTGCAAGGGTGCCCTGGTGCCACTGCCTCCTCCATGCCCCCGCCGGCGTCCCCCTCCACAGGCAGTCGCACCAGGAGTAGCTTCCCCGTGGGCCGAGCTTACCTGGACAATGGAAACGTCCCAGCCGGCTGCACGGCATCTAAACTGCTCCTTAGCATCATACACTGCTCCACTGCATCCACACTGCTTTCCTCACACCATCCACACTACTCCACAGCATCCAGGCTGCAGCATCATCTGTGCCAAGCAGTCCCCCACTGCGTCCTGCCGGGGGGAAGTCTTTTGGTGCTATGGACTTGTTTTCTCTGCTTTGGTCCACCAACTGTCCCTCTTCCAAAATCACCTGAGAGCTGCCTTCTCCAAAGGATTATTCTGATGTCTGCAGTTTGTCCATCCCCTCCCATACATGACCTTTCTTACGTTTGTGACAACTCTCAGTAAGTTTTGCTTAAGGCAAGGCTATGTTCAGATCATCTATTCAGCCATGTATAAAAGTTATGTGACCATGACTTTTTCAGAAAACAGAAAAACAAGGGTTCTATTAGTGTTTTCTTGCCATTTAAGTAAAACTTCCTGCTTATGACCAAAGCAATAATGCTGCTTGGCAAAGAAGCTTAGATTCGATTAGGCAAACGAGCATACTGGACATACTTTGAGTTTGCTCTTGAACAAAGATACACGGACATGGTTCACCACCCTCCTGTGCAGTTCCAAGCTGCTGTCACTGTGTGTGCGTGTGAGCGTGCCTGCCTGCTTGTGGGAAAAAGAGGGGAGCAGAAGCCGTGAAGAGTTCATGCAGACTGTCCAGGGTGAGCCCTCTCCAGGAATGCGTTTCCCCAGCATATTTGGCACTTGGACCCATCTGGTATTTTCCAAGAGCAACAGAACTGGCTTTTCAGATGCACTTTGGTCGTAGCTAAAAATAACACTCAGCTCCAACTAGGACAGCATGCTTATATCCGGGACAGAAGGAAACTCCACCAGCAGCAGGGTCATCAACTCTAACTTTCCCTTAAGTGGCTGATGACATTTTGTCAGTCGGCTGCTGTAAGCTTTCCCCAGCATGGGAGACTGTGGTGGTGTGTTGGTATTCATTTTCACCAGAGTTTCAAAGTTTGGGCATGTAAGGCTAGAGTCCAACATCTATGCATGTGCACAGAAAACCAGCCTGGTACACAGAGGCACTGAAGCATTAAAGCCCAGCAGCCCTGGAAACAGTCATTATTGCAGACATTTGTGAAAGGTGGAATTGTGACTTTTTGTTGATATAAATTAAAATGGTGACAGTTAGTGGGAGGAGGGATGAGCAGAAGGATGGATTCTAATGCTGAAGAAAGCAAAACCAGTATGTGTAAGATTTAAACATTGAAATTGCCTTGCAGCAGACTCCAGGTAGTGTTTGAAACCCTCCACTGACCAAAATCTGCAGTCCCCTGTAGTTCTAAAATGGACAGCCAAAGGTCTTCTCTGAGGCAGATGTACTGCACACAGGTGAGCTAGGCAGCCAAAACAGGGGTTTGCAGCACTGCTGAGGTGAGCACAGTGAACCCAATGCAACCAGCAGCCCAGGTACATGATGCCCATGCTATGGGCCCACCCACTGTAGACTGAGGTCCTCACAGACTTTCTCACTGATGTCTTTCAGCCTTCCATCCTTCTCCTTCACCACAGGTTGGGGGCAGCCTGCTGATAGCCTATTCCTGCCAGGAAACAGGGTCTGTGGCTGCCATAAGTCAACCCGATGTTGGGCACAGGACAGGTCTCTCCATTCATTATCCAGGACTGTGGTACACGTTCCTGCTGTGGCACAAGTCCCGCTGTTCATCCCTTTGAGCTTAACTAGCTCACCACATAAAGCTGACAAAAAATGCAGAGTTATAAAATGGTTAATGATGAAGAGGCGATAAAAAATCATTTTCTCATTAAGGGAATTCCTGTCAATATCTTATGACAGTAATGCACGCAGCCATATCACATAGTACAACAGACACGCTCTATGGAAGAAATAATATTGCTTCCTATACAGATCTACAATTTCCTGTTTGCTTTCATAACCCACCCTGCTTGAATAATAGCAAAAAGCCTGGAAAGAGATGGCAGTGCTGACCCATTCAGGACTCCTTCTGCCCTCATTCTTGCGAGAGCACAAATACTGGCCATTTGCTTTCATCTGGTACAGAAACCTAGAGTTTGCAGGGAAGAAAAACCCTATTTATTTTTTAATCTATTTTCTTATATATTGATTAAAATGTTATGCACAAAGTAGTTAGCACTGATTTGTCAAGTTTCTCTTAGGAGAAGAAAATCTATTTTCACTTCTCCAGGATAGACCAGATCTTTCCTTTCTTCCCTCAAGCAAAACTCTGAAAGAGACAAAGCAATGCTCCAGTCAGCCACAGAGGAAAACCTCCCCTTCTTCACACCAAGACTTGCACATAGTCTTCTCTTTTTCACTCACAAAGGGAAAGGTTACCTCATCACGCAGCAGTCACCGTCACAGACTAAATTCAAGATGTTATTACTAAAAGTCCTGACCACCTATAAAGAAACTAAGAGAAAAAAAAGTCATAATTCAGAGAGTGGGAGAACACATATTGAACAGCGATGTGTATTGGGTCTTAAGTCTGTACATATATACACAGGTGTATGCACAGAGGAAGAGGAAAGAGAGAGGAAAAAATGAGAATCCATTAATGGGATGATTTGCTCCCGAGCTGCTTTGCCACTTCCAAAGATACCTGGTCTAATAAGATGTACTTTCCTCCTCCTGCAAGCCTTGATTCCTTTTCTACCTAAAGTAGCCATGTCATCACTTCTGAAATGTAAAATCAAATTGCTTCTCTGAAAGCCTAGCTGAGTTCTAGAATCATGTGCACTTGAAGCAGTCCAGCTATTTGACTGCCTGCTTGTATTTGAATCACAAGTTTCGTGTGAGCTATACAAAAAGATTAACAAATGCCTGTTAGAAACAGAGATCTTGAAACTAATTCTGTGTGACACTCAGAAAGAAACCTTGCTCTGCTAATTGAGCAGAGCTCGTTACTTCTGAAGTAGGAAAGTTTAGCCTCGGCTTGGAGTAAAACATACGGCAGGGTATGGAAGGCAGTAGACACGTTTGAACTGTTACACTTCAAAGGGCTGAACACTGATTGATCTGTTATTATCTGAAGATGGCAACTGCTCAAAGGCAGAAAGAAACTGCAAAAGTTTTGAGTTTCAAGCTTAAACGTGGGGTTCTGAAGAGTTTAGCTTTGCACTGACTGATTAAAGTATAAGAATGAAGTAAATACAATTTAAAAGTTAAATTACCATATGGTCATAGCTAGAGGTAAATTTCAAAAGTAGCACATGTAAATAGTTTCTTGCTGTCTGAACAAATAATTCTACAGTTAAACTAAGTCATTTGGTAACTGGCACAATTGATTTCTGCTTGTAGTCAGTTACTGACTGGTTCTGCAATTCATTTAAGTAGCCCCTGGGATGAAACTCTTGATCTGCCATGCATATAATTTTCAGCTGATAAAGATTATGTTCATATGGTTAAAAGCAAAACAAACAACAGCAAAAAAAGAGCCAGCCACCAGGTTCTGGTAGCTGTTAAAGGAAATTGCCATCTTAAATGAAAGAGTGTTGCAAAACCTGGAATCAAGTTTGGCATCTTTAATCCAGTATGCATCTGCACTGGAAGAGCTTTGGAGAGATGGAAAGCAATCCGTGTAGTCCCTGGCCCCTTCAAGTGCAGGCATCATTCTATTTAAGCAAGTAGGAATTGAACTTTGGAATTACCAAGAGCAATGGTGCAGTGAAAGACTGGACTGGGCTGGAAAAATCCTAATTATCATCCATTTTGCTTGTTACCAAATAGATTTCAGGTCTATGCAGGCTACAGGAAGTTTCTCTTTGGGGAATTCTTCCTGAAGCCCGGTGAAAGGTCCTGTGGGTTTGCTTTCACTTTCAACTATGGCCAAGAGTCAGTAGTACATGCAGGAGAGGAAAACTTCTTGGCCTTAGTACCGTTGTGCTGTGATCCTTAGGAGACAAAGAAATTCAGTACCCTTAGGATGACCTCTCTTTTTCAATGGGGATATATAGTATTTCAAGTTTAGCCCACAACCCCCTAATAAACCTGTTCCCTGTTGCAGTCATGGAGTATGATAAATATTAGCCCTGAAAATTCAACCCTCTCAGTTTTTACAAAGCAATATAAAGAAGAAGACATCATATGGCAAGCGCTGCTTGGTGGATCCCCATGGATGCACATTTCCCATCCCTGACACAGATGGCAAGTAACACAGAATCCTCCATGACCCATTTTCAGATCCATTTGTTACCTGTTTCATATGCCTGTGTAAAATGGGCAATTTCAAGCTGAGAAAAAGCTTGCCATAGTTGTTACTGGATTAGAGGGAATCTCTTTTTCAGCTCATACAACAAATGCATTTTCTGCCTTCAAAGAGTCCCAGGTTAAGCCTTAGTCTATGGGCAGGATAGTACAGAGTCTTTGAACCCCTGTAATGGGTGGAACATCCACAATTTGACAGGGGAGAGGCATCCAGCAAATGGTGCAGAGTGACTTGGGCTTGGTAATTGCAGTTTAAAGGTCAGGGACAATACAAAGGTAGGACAACTCCCAGAAAAAGAATAATCAGATTCTTCACCTGCAGAGAAGAGGCAGATGATGGCACAGGCTGCTGAAGTTGCCCACTCTAGTGGACTTGCTCATGAGCTGA